GCGCTGTTGAAATCAAAATCCATAACTGGTATAACCACTTCCATTTTCTTTCCTCCTAAAGCTCGCACAGTCAAAAAGTGGTAAATGCAAATATATATATACAAAAAAAAGACTAAATGGTTGAGAGAGAGAGAGAGCAGTTACCAAGCGATTTCCTTGACTGATTTTTCACTATTTGATTCTTAAATCCCACGACCAGAAAAAGGTTTGTTTATTTGTATACTGGATAAAGAAGATCGCTGTATAAAATTGGTCACGGTGAGCCATCACTTTTTGAATTTTCCGTGAAGCAGAAGTTGACATGGACGTGTATATTTGTATATTACAAATAAATAAACAGATGGGATTTCTCTCCCTTGTTTTTTACACCATTTCAGGCTTCACGTCCAAGTGTCTGGCATGAATTTAACAAACCCTGAAAATTCGTAAGCAAAAACTTACAGATATTTGATACGAAATTAAATGGGAAATAGTAACTTAAATGAAAGCTGTAGTTTAGGTGATGGACAGCTTTCAGATTGGTTGGGTGTTACCATTACATGGTGAAAGAAAGCGATGCAATCGACCTTGCAAAGATAAACAAAAAGTTATTACAGCTCATTTGCTCATGTTTTGGACATGACTTCCATTAATGTTATAAACTAATCTCAAGTGTCCGAGACTATTGGCTACGTCTTTCGTGGATGATCGTGTAAACCTTAAGATTAATGAATCGGATTAGTTGATGTGAACAGTTGTTCATAGTTTTCCGTTAGAATCTAAAAAATATGCATTTTTCACATAGATAAAAAATAACGGAGAAAACATTGTCTACCATCAAGCTCAGTTGGTATAACACAAGGTTTTTAATCTTGGGGTCGTGAGATCGAGTTTCACGGAGAGCATTTTATAATTCGGAGGTTTCTTACGGAAGCTGTTCCCAACCTGACGTTGGGAGCAGCCTACTATCTTACCTCCCTCTTACCCCATTACATATGGGAATAAGGGTTGGCTAATTTTTTTTATTATACAAACGTGTGCTCGGAAACTAACATTTGGACTGATTCATGAAGATCTGGATGGACAGGCTGTGTTTGGTATGTGCAGAATTTCAACAAAGCTCGTGTCACTTTTGTTCATAAATGTTTTACCTCGGAAGCCAACAGAATACCCACCAACCCTCTACTTGCGCTCTCTTCTTTAATTTTCACAGGGAAAGGTTCTTTTTCTTTTTTCCTTTTACACGGTCTATATGAATGGCTAAGATAAGAGAATCCTTTTCTTTCGTGAAATACTATCATCTTTTCCTGTATTCATTGGTGTTGTTTATTAAGTTTTAAATTATTAAAATCAAAATTAATTAAATTTTAAATAAAACAATTAATCAAAACTTTTAAGTGTTAAAAAAATAGAACATTAAGCTGATAAGGATTTATATAAATCTTTTACAACTCAATTTTATGATTAATTAAATAAAAAAATCACTTACATTTATGATGTGAATTAATCTAGCAAATAAAATATGGCAACCTCATTTGTAGATTTGGTAGCGGCCCAGGAATTGCTTTGGGTAGCTCATCAAATGCTTTTGGACCAGTTAACGAGAATTTATGTGCATTTTGAACCCAATAAGGGTGATCATGGAGGGTAACTTATCAATTAATTGAAGCCCATTAAAAGCTTAGGATGGCTCAGAAACCATTTGGCCTCTCCACCCAAAACTGTATTTACATTTTTTTTCTTAAATACTGCTAGACACCAACTTTGATTTGTTCAGTTGTTCACAAAATTTTAATTTCCATAGTTTTCTTATTGACGGGGAATTATACAGTGCGACACTTTTAATATAAAGTTAAAAAAAATATTACCGGTTTTGTTAATATTTAAATAATAAAATCGGTAAAAAATTATCTAAAATATTATTATTTCTACCTAAAACATTAATATTTTTTTAACATTTCTGATAAAGTGCTTAACAATAATAAAATCGGTAGAAAAAATAATAAAACTGATAATGTATTTTTTTAATCGTATATTAAGATTACACCACGTTATTGACACTGAAAAACAAAACTGACAGGTTACTGTCCCTTGAAAATTTGCTTTATTGAGATAAGACCTGCAAATCTCAGCAGGGCCAGGACCAGGTTGGTGAGTCTACCTTTGCCCAGTTCATCATCTACCTTTGTTTGTGGTTCAGCAATCAGCACCCAAAGCAAAAAGATTTGGTGTTTCATATTCGTACTATCTCAAAAGTATAGGAAAATATCACGTGGGATATTTTTAATATACTATTAAAAAAAGATATTATTAATTTTATTATTTTTAAATAAAATCGATAAAAAAAATTACTAGAAATATTATTATTTCTATTAGTTTTGTTATTATTAGACGCTTTACTAATTTTATTAACATTTCCGATAAAGTATTATCGGTTTTTTTATTTTTTTCTATCGATTTTATTATTATTTGACATTTTATCAGATTTATTAAAAAATATTAATATTTTAAATAAAAATAATAATATTTTATATCATTTTTATCGATTTTATTTAAAAAATAATAATAAAATCGATAACATATTTAATATATATTAAGGGTCTCGTACCCTAAAACTTAGCGCTACATCCCTGGCAGGCAATCATGGCTGACGGCTTAAGCCAGTTCATTTTCATCACAACACGTGTTTACCAGGGTAAAGTAAATTAAAGGATAAACTACTTAATTATTTAATCGATTTTAATATAATTATTGTTATGGTGACGGTTATTAAAATTAATATAATTATATAATTAATCATTAATACTTATATATTCTATTAATATAATATTAATATTAATTTAATTCTTAAAATAATTTTCTATCAGGATGTGTCACACGTCAACGGATTATTATAATATATTTTAATAGTTACAAGTCACGCATGTCATAAATGAATTCCCCACCAATCAAATGTTGACAGGTGGTTAGGGAGACAAACATAAGCAAAATATTGCAGCTTAAGAAATTTTAATCCCAAAACCTCAAGATAATGATGGACAAGCCTCAACCATTGGGTAAATCTAATGTTTGTTATTAGTTTGTCAAATATTTTATATATCTTATTTTAAATTAAACAATAAAAATGAATAATAAAATTCTAATAAATAAATTATATTTGATATATAAACAAATTCTAATAAATAAATTAAATTAAAATTTTCTTTTTTATAATTATTTTTAAATGATTCCGAATTCTAACAAATAAATTAAATTATTTTTTTCAGTTTTACTGTTACTTTTAAATGATTCAAAAATTTTAATAAATAAATAAAATAAAATAATTCTTTTTTATAGTAATTTTTAAATGATAAATGAATAAGAATCATTGTAAAAAATAAAAAAATTAATATATAATTTAAACTCATTTAAAAATAAATTTAAAATATAAAAATTAATTTAATTTAAAAATATAAAAAAATTAACTCATTTTTATTTTTGAACTTTGCATTAGCTACTATAATTTATTTATTAGAATATTAATTAGGTATTTTTAAGTAGTTTTTCCTATAATTTCTTTATTAGAATATTATTATTTATTTTTTATCTATAATTTAAAACAAGAATATAAAATGTTTGACAAACTAACAACAAGCATTGAGTTTGTCTCGGTGGTTGAGGCCTGCCCACCCTTAACTTGAGGTCTTATAATCAATTCCCTAGCAATAATATTCTACTTGTGCTTGTTTTCCCTTTAAACATGTGGTGACACGTATCATCACTTAATTGGAGAAATTTTTAATTAATTTTAAAATATGTCACAATAATCATTTGACTCATGATACATCCTAGTTGGAAGATTAATTTTAATTAATTAAATTAAAATTAGAATTAAATTGATAGAATATGTAAGTATTGACAATCAATTATATTATTATAATAATTTTATTAACTGCAAAGAATCACTTCCACCAATGTTAATGGTATGTGACTATATTGAAACTAACTAAATAGTTAAGTGATCATATTAATAAAATTTTAAAGATAGTAATCATATGCACACCAACCCCATAGTTAGGTGTTCATTCAGTAGTTTACCCTAAATCTGAAGCGGATGTACTATAACCACCAAGAAAACTACAAGGCCTGCTCGCTTTAGCTTTGGATGAGGAGTGAGAATCACTTTCCATTAAAGCCCGAATGTTTTCTGCTCCCGTGTAGAGCCGATGGTATAGTCCACATGGTCGTATCATATGGTGGGACACAAAAGTTTGAAAGCAATCTTTGGCATTAAAGTTGGTTGAGCTTAAGACAAAGCTTTCATTCCAGGTTTTCACGACAGTTGGGCAGCACTGGTTTTATTGAACCTGGATAATTAATGGTATAATCAACGTGTATGAATATATATCAAAAGGATTATTCAACTAATACCTTGCATTCATACAGACAGCAGACTTTGATGTGTTTAATGAGAACTCTTTATCTGTTGTCCAAAACAGGTCACAGTTAATGGTACAGCAGGATTCTACTTACAAATGGGTCCTTAGGATGCCAAGCATTGATTAAATAACAAAGGGTATTGCGAAATAAAAAACAAACTGGTACAATATGCTTCTCATGGACCACCAGGGATTTTTCCTCGGCATGAGATATCAGTAGCTTTCTTGGAATGCAGAGCTTCATGATTTTAATTGGAATTCCAGCAGGCATTTTTAATGCACACTAACCTAAAAACGTCCAGACAGAATATTGGGGTTGTCAATACTTACACCTACTTTTCTTGAACGAAAACTTCAAGAGTTTCTAATTTGAAATATCATTTTCAGATAGTTGGCAATCCTTACAGGAACATGTCATCGCTTTGAAGTTCATGGTCCCTCTATTTTCAATGATGATGGATGGGATTATGGATATACAATCCAGGATGATAGTACAATTGAGAAGTCTGGATCATTCTGTGATATTTGGTTGAACCAAATACAGTAAAAGAATTCATTTCTTCTTCTTCTGAAAGAGTACTTATTAATTACATCCAGAAATCCCTGATGAACATTCCTCTCACAACTACTTACAATCAAAACATAGGACTTTGGAGAATAGATTACTTACACCTTTATTTTTTTATATTATCTAATCTAAGCTTGTGTATGAAAATATTACACCCTTAGAACTAAGCAAAATTTCAAGTGTAGCAAATAATTTATTATGTGCATAAAAGGTACCTAAAGCTGAAGTCATAAGGTATAATTTGAACAAACCGTAGAGGAGACTCTGTTTTAGCTCTTTCAAGATACGTGAATGCTTCTTTTCCGAATTCACTAGGTAGTTGAAGGCAAATCCAATCGAGCAACGAATCAAAGTCCTTAGCAAAGTCGAGCAAGTACCAGTCCAAAAGCTTAGGGATTGCAAACTTTGTCGATGAAATCCCGACAGTAGCCTGCAAGTACTCTTTCTTTGCGACTTCCAATTCAGTCTCAACGTTAGAAGCAGTATATACTCGCACCTTCATTTGACAGAACCGAAGAATTAATAACCAGTATTATATGATGTTGACAAGAGCAAACTTAGCTTCTCTTTCAGACAAAGTTACAAGCTTACAGCAGGAGAAGACCAGCTTCCACATGAGAGGGCAAATGTCACCAATGGTTGGGATAGTTCCAGTCCAAACATGCTCCTGGCAGTCATTTCATCGTTCTTGGCACCCTTTGAAAAGGTCTGATCAGAATTGAAGTATAAGAAACATGACAAATAAGAATCGATTTGCAAGCTGAATAAAGTTCCCAAGAAACTTGAATGAGGCACCACTTACAAATTTGGAATGATACGGCAATCTGAGAATGAAATGTTCAATAGTTATTGCATTTAGCTGGCGCCCCCCAACGTTTATAGTTGCCTGTTTCATCAAAATTTCTAGTAAAACCACCGATTACATCTAATTAATCAAAATGGTTGAGCATGAAACAGAAAACTATCCTACAAATGAAAATCAACGACGAAATCATGTGCTGTACATTCATACCTTCCTCATCAATTCCACAACTATCTCTGGACTCTCTGGTACTCCATGTCCTAAGAATGCCTGAATCAATATCATGTAATAAATGATTTCATCTACTAGAGTAAGCCAGTTATCGTAGCAGAAACCAAACGCATTAAAAGATAGAGTACCACCATAAGAGAATGTGGGGTTTAAATTCATGTGAAGTAAACCAGTTTGAAAATGAATAGTTTGGATTTTGATACAATTTAAACCAACAGTTAATATTGTTACACAAGCCAAAATCTTTTCTGTTCATATTGACAGAATCTTTCACATACATTCATCATGCAGGAATTGTAGATATTTATCCAGAAGGCAAGCCTCTCCTGATGATTTAGGTTCCGCAAGTTGGAGGAGGCAAGTCTTGCAAGGAGTAGCCTGAGAATTTAACATACAAAGTGATCACAATTCTTTAGAACTTCTGCAGACATTAGAATACATAAAATAAGAAGAAAACTAATCTAATAACTGATGACTTACTTCAGCCTGCGCAGCAGAAATAAAGAATTTGATGTTCGATTTGGATTGATCGAGTCAGCATCAATTGAAATCAAATGCTTATACCTGCCGATATCTCTCCTCCCAAAATTCAAACAAATACCATAGGGGTCCCGAAATTTTGTTTCATCCTTGCTTTCTTGGGAGCCTAACATTGATAACCAAGGAAAACTTTCTGCACTAGACTTTCTCTTCATTGAGCTCATTCTTAAGAAAATGGTGGACAAGCATTTCACAAGCTCCTCGGAAACTTTATTCGGGCCATTATCTGCCATCGGTTTCTCATCTGAAGTGCTAAGATTCGGCGCATCTGCACTATCTTGGACTCTCATTCTGCATTCTAGCTGAACATGTAAAACAAGTCGATACTCATTTAACTGTACAAAAGTCTACTGTAACTGAAAAGGGAATGACACTGGTTCATGCCTGCAATTTTTCAGGATCTAAACGTTTCTCTGAAGGCTTTGAATCAATCAAAGGTCCCTTCACAGGTGTTCTTAGTAATTGGCTTTTATCCACCAAGGACACCTTATTGCTCTTTGAAGAATTAGTGCAAGACTGGTTCTCTTTTCCTCTCCCATCGTCTGGAAAAACAAAATCAATAAGCTCGAACCCTACTTTCACTTCAAATACATGTTTCAAATGTTAATGGCATGAGGAATATTTAAAACACCAAAACCTTACCCGAAAGGGATCGCATATGACTTGCCATGGATGTATTTCTAGTTAAAGTTTTTGGTTGTAGACGTTTATCCGGGCAAGGCTCACTCAAATCAATTGAACTCTCCATGTTCCTTTTCGAGGATGATGTATAGACAGCTTCTTGATACAAGTCTTGTCTAAAGTGCACTACCTGTTCTTCGAGCCGGACAATCTCCTCCTCCAGCACTGCCACTTCCGCTAAAAGCTCCAATGTCTACAAAATTAGAACCCGACATTAAAATTCCTATTTGACAGTGTCCGAATGTGCCATCCGATCGCTTCCACTGCTTCCAAATTTCTCTAACCGCAATCGGCATGACGCCTTTACCGATGCGGATTCCTTGATTTTTTTCTTTAATTTTTGAAAAGTGAAAAAAAAACACCCAAGGACTCGATGAGATGGTGGATTACTTACAGGAGGAGGGAGATATGGAGGAAGACGAGGTAAAGCTCCCAAGGGTCGGTTAAAAGCTCTCTCCAGAGCTCTGTGAATGTTCTCTTCCTGTCTAAGCTTCTTCTTCAGTTTATCGACCTGACGAACATTGGAGTTTTAGTACAATCAGCAACTACAGTAAATTTTGTGTAATAAATCCAAAAACTTGCAGCAACTCTGGGGAATGAAGGCTATACATCTTGTTGTAAGGCCATTTTTCTCTCTTTGCTCGAGTCTCGTCGATTCTTCATCGTCTTTGTGGCAACAATAGGCGGCTTGGTCCCCTGCATTTCAGCCTTCTCCTTCAAAGAGAAAAAAGTTGCAAACAGTTAGCTTGATCAATCATAAAATAACAAAAAGTTGGACGAATCAAATAACAATGGAAGAATTTGAAACCACAAAGTTGCCTAATAGTGAATGAAGCCAACCCACAATTGACTGGAATAATCCAAGGGAATAATACAAAAACCTTCTTTCATCAAAGATTTAAAATTTTAAAACCGGCATTGGATTCCAATCAAAGAAGCTTACTTTTCAAAAACTTTCCGGGGATGAGAGGCATTTTTCTTGAAATTGAAGACAATTAAGGAATAATCACATTCCTTCATACGTACTACAGTAGAAACCGTTTTTCAAAACAGATAGTAGTATTATAATAACCAGAAAATCCAGGACCCTAGTTTGGCCATTGATTAAAATTCTTAAAGATAGTGATCAGTAATTACTTTCTCATTCTTCCCAGAAACTTTCCTGGACTGAACAGACGTCCTGACTCTGGTACTCATCCTTGCAACACTCTACTACCAAATCTGCGAAAACCCAATTCAAAAACTTCAACAAAGATCACATAAACAACAATAACAACGTAAATCTTCATCAAGAACAAGAAAAAAAGACTGATCAGATTCGGACCTTCAACGTAAAAAAGAAAAGTTCAACTTTCCATAACAAACACAGACAAACTTCAATATCTCTCTCCAAACAAGTAGAGACTAAAAATGACAAAGCTTGGGAATTTAAAAATGAAGCAGACACCCCAAACACCAATTCTAAAGAGAGCAAGAAAGCAGGTTAACTAGGCTTGCAGCAGTGTCTTGGCTTGTTTGGAAGATTGTATTATACAAATTTAAAGCAAAGGAAGAGTATCAGAAGTAGTGGCAGGTGATGTGGAAAAAGTAAGAAAGGCAAAACAAGATAGAGCTGTATACAAACTCCACGCACAAACACTCCCTTGCCTGTGTCATCGTGAACCAACACGCATCGTCCCTTTTTTTCCCACTTCACTAACTACTACAATAAATTACTAATGCATTCTTCAACCCCCTTTTAACCTGTAAATCATGTAAAGAAAATTGGTAATATATGATATGATTATGGGTTATTTTTCTTCTTGGGGTTGATCTTATCTATTTGTAATTCTACTACCTTTTTAAAAAGAAATTATGAAATTAATGAGAAAAGGTTAATATTAATTGCTCGAATTGGAATTTCATTTCTTTTTCTTTTATTCTTTCAGACCTATTAAATCTATTTTTTTTAAAATTTTACTATTGATAAAAATATGAAAAAATATATTTTAAAAATTTTCTATTAAGTAGTTTTAAAATATATATATATTTTATAAAATTTGATTGTTTAAAATATTTAAAATAATTATAGTTAAAATTTAAAATTATTGATTTTTAAAAAGTTGGACAATTTCATAGGATGAGGAAGTATTTTTTATTTTTGGAAGTAAATATTTGTTATTTTGGAAAGTAATGGAATGGTTTTTGAAGGCAAAAGCTGCACACATCACGTGTTTGCCAACTAAACATCTTTTCATTTTCTGGAAAATGCATTTTAATTAATATGTGCTTATTAATTAATAAGACACATGATATGTTACAGTTCACTTTCCCGTTCTTGTTGCTGGGTCAATCTCACTTGTGATTTTAAATCAATTTGGATTAAGAATATTTTTCTTGTTTTGGGTTGTACTTTCATTCATCATTGTATTGAAAATTAATTAAAGTATACAATTGATTGTAGGACTTATTTTATCGAATCCCTTAATTATTAAAAACTATCAAATGATCTCATGAGTGTAGGTAATTATTTTGTTGAGTCTCTATATTATTAAAATTTACGAAATACTTAGATGACTACTTATATGTTCCAAATTCATCATTTTCTGTTAAAAAGTTGATTGTCGTTTGAGCTGGACGTTAACCTACTGATTGAGATATGATAAAATCATATTTTAATGATGTCTATTGACACCGTTGTTGTTTTCAAGCACTGACTTGACGACTAATATTTCAAACATTGACTCGATACATGATATAAACGGAGACTCGATCCACAAAATATATTTCAAACAGTTATGGGATCATATGAATAATCGATGACCATTTTATAACTTTTAATAATCAGATGACCAACAAATATCATCTTATAATTACATGACTATTTTATAACTTTTTAATATTCAAATACTCAACAAAATAATACTATATAGTCGGGAATCATTTTTATACTATACCCATTTAGCCATTGGCATAAAAATTAATTTGAAAATTTCCCTAAATGTCATGGAGGACAGAATCTACCGCTTAAATGCAAGGCGGTAGTCAACGACCACCGGCAAATCAGAAAAGTTATTATATTATGACAAAAGTGTGGAAGAAGCCGATGAAGAGGAAGCAAAACTCAGATCTAATATCAATACTCGGATTTCAATATCATATATATAATTAATTTTTGTTTGGTTGAATATTGAGCCAAAACAACTCATTGTATTATCCCACAAAAATTAAAACTTGTATGTGTATGGATTGAAGAACCGCTTTGTGGATATGCGACGTCGTCTACTTTTAGTACAATGAGCATTGAGTTTTATATTTAAACCTCAAGATAAAATATCTAAAGTTTTTATATCAATTATTATAATACAGAAATTCCATTACCATAATTATGCTAGTTGAACCTATAATTAAATTATATTATTAAATTTTAGTCACTCTTTCATTTTTCACTTAACACTAAATTCTTTTAATTATATTATTAAACTTGTTAGATTTTATTCTTTTAATCATCAAATTATGAATGGTTAATGTCATATACTATTCATCTCTCATAATAATATTTATCGCCATTTAGATTCTTGGATGATCGCTCTGAACCTCTTTAGTCCGAAAAAATACTAAAAAGTATGATAATTTTGTTGTTAAATTTTATAAATTTTAAAGATATTTAAAAAAATAAATCAATAAATTGATTAAACGAATTTATTGATATTTTGGAAATCATACAAAACTCAATAGAAAGATTGTTTTTAATAACAGTTAAAAGTATAAAAATATCTTATTTTTTAATGGAAAAAAGAAAAGAAATTATCACGTCATATAAATATAAAAAAATTTAACATTAACACACATCACTAAACAATATTATTGTATTATTAAAAAAAATTAATGGATCATTAATTAAAAAGTAATATAAAAAATACTATCATAACTAAAAGAAATTATGTTTCATTTATTAAAATTTATTGATTAACGATGTAATTTTGTTAATAAAATAATTAATTTTTTAAAGAGATAAACAAGCCTCTAATTGCATATAAAAAAGAGGAATTAGGGAGGGTTGAGCATTCTAGTCGATTAGATAATGAGAGGTATCTAAAAAATCTAATCAGATCGAAATTTCTGATTTGACATTAATCGAATATATTAATCTGTTTAAGGCCGGATGGATTTCATCACAAACTCCATAATTGACAATACAACAAAAACCATGACTAATTAAAATCGAGATTGATAATTAAAAAATAGGTCACCGCAACGAGTGTCGGCGTAGACGAAGACCATCTGCAAATAATAACAATTAGCAATTGCTCATCTGCCATAGCATCAAGACAACAAAAAGGGTGGAAAAATACATAAAATGTCTCCTCTCTTTCTGTATCAAATCTTGCTTCAGTTCCTCACAACTCTTTATTATGGGTTAGTGGTTCTTTTAATCCGTGGAATAGTTTATTTAATTTTAGTTTAATCGTAGAGAGTTAAGGATATTGGTGCTTGAAAATGTGGATTCAGAACGCCGCTCGTGATTGGAGATGATTTCCAGTTCTCCAGTGCTGCATCTGCATGGGCCATGCTCTTCTCCAAATCTTTGGATGAATCTGTTACCAACCATTCTCTTTTATTTATTTCCCATTATACAACAAAAACACTAGGACCTACCAACTACCATCATCTTCTTCCTATATTGACTTGTTTTCTCATTTGACAGCTGCTTTGCGCCAATTCTAGTTGGCATGGCACCTCAATGCTTTAACCATTCTGGGAGGGCTCTTTCTTTTTCCCTATACTTGAAAAAATTAGGCTTCTACTCGTACATTCTTGACTCTGAGCTGTGTTAACTAGACTTTTTTGCTCATGAATTGTTGATCTGGTAAAAAAGGATAGGATTGGTGTAACAAGTACGAAACGTGGGAAAATGAAAGCGTAGGTAGGCCTCCCGACATAGAAATATGTTTACTGAAACATTGATAGTTAATAATGTGGCTCTCCACAACAATCCCATCAGTTTCTTCCACCCTTCAATTCCTTGATTAGTACTTCGTAGGGGTCTGGTAAGTTACAGATGGCAGGGACGAAAATGTCACTCAAATTTTGATTTTTATTTATGAAATGTTCATATTAACAATGATGACTACCATAAATCCAAAATCCACTGAAACATATGCCTTTATATGCAAGTCGTGTCTTCTTAAAAATTCACATTTTATATGGGTTTTAAAGCTTTTGGGTGTGAGCATTTCTTTTTTGCAACAATCATTGCACTAACAACCTACATAATCTTAAAGTAAATGGAATGAAAAGCCCACATAAAATGATCGAAGATTGGAATTAAATAATAATTCAAGTAAATGCACATTTGTGAATGGTAATGGACCATAAACTTCAATGCACATTGATCAACTAGTGGTTGGTTGTCCTACCATCTATGGAAGCTGTGAGATCAGCTCATGTTCAACCATGGGTTTCTGCAGTTTTAACTTTTAAGTGGGGGAAGTCAGGCCAAAATAGAAAAATGGACAAACCGTGGATTTTATGCAGCAGTCCAGATCCTGATAGAAGGGGGGAAGCAGCTGCATGTAAAAGGTAATATATCTTTAGTAAACTAAGTGGCATTGAATCAAAACCCACTTAGGCTTGGAGCTCCGAGTCTACTCACTATTATAACTTTTCACACTGCCCCGCATTTGGGTTTCATTAATTTCATCATTTGAAGTGGCAATCACCATTTTCCATTAGAGAATGGTGGAGATTAGATGCTTAATCAGGATACTTTGATGTTAAAAAAAAAAGTGATTCCTTGTGCAATTAGAAGAGCTGGTATATTTTCCACTGAGAGAGAAAAAGGAGTCACTTATGTCCCATTAGACCCTCACATAGAAAAAGGGAAGCTATCTGAGCCAGCTAGCTGGTATATTTTTCACCTAGAGAGAAAAAGCAGTCACTTATGTCCCATTAGGCCCTCACATAGAAAAAGGGAAAGCTATCTGAGCCAGCTAGCCTATCTGGTCACTATCATTCCTTTGAGGTATTGTCTTCTGATCAAAGGACAAGAAATGTGCGGCTTTAAAAAATCCATGCCTACATGTACATGCGCATTATTCGTCTCAACCAAAAACATAGATGCAAAGGCTTTTAACATTTTGGATCCAGTCTTTTAGATCTCAAAGGGAAGGTGAGCCTCTTTTCTTCATTGATGGTTGGTCGGAAAGGAAACTGAAAGATTAAAGAAAAAAGTTTCACTGTAGAAAGAAACAGAGATGAACATCCCACATCATTTTATAAAAACATTTGCATTTCCAACTTGTCTATCTTTGATAATTTTGCTAGTTTTTCACCAGGTGAGACCGATCAATAATAAGCCAAGGAAAAGGACAAAATGCCCAGATCAAGACAATTAAAAAGCTGGCTGTGCCGTACATGAACAAGTCAACTCGTCAGCTTAGACCTTGTTTCTGGTTTTGCCAGTTCTTGGTCCTCGTATCTAGTTGACTTTACCTTCATTGTAGATATGGCTTCCACCACCACCACCACCACCAAGGTTTAGTCCCTAACAAATATTAGAGTTGGTGTCTGACAAACTCATTTGATGTGATATCGTTTTGTAAGTACCATATTTTATAAAACCGATGACATATCAAATTCCTTACCCAATCTTTGTATGACCAAGAAAATAAAATATATAGAAATCGGTTGCTTCATTTTCCACTCTTAGAGGCAAGCACCTCTTTCCCCGAGAATCAGCCTGTGTTTATGTCCGACGACAGGAACCGGAGAT